GGGGGCGGGTACAGCTGGCTCTGCCTCTAGATAGGCAGAGCCAGCTGTCACTCACGCAGCTGGGTGGATCTCGACAGTAATGTCTGGATCCGTCCCGGCTGCGGCGGTCTCGGTATACCGCGAGCTGTAGATCGCTATATACCGAGCTTTGGGTCACAGGAGGAGGTCAGTATGTGTCCTCCCGTGACCCTTAGGAGAACTATGGGGGAAAAGACTTACCCCATAGTTCTCCTTTAACACTACTGTAGGGACCACTCTACGCCCACTGAGACTCTGTCCACGCATTAGTACATACCTGCAGCTCTTGATCGCCGGTTTCATAGTCCTATTGCACAATGCTGCAAAAAATAATAATAATAATAATAATGAGCAGTGACAACAAGCACACGGAACATATTATTTAAAGCCGAACTTCCGTTCACCTAAAATTCCTCAATAGCGACACAGAATATAAATCCACTTTGTGTGCACGACATTTCTTTGAAAACCCAGCCGATACATTGTCACAGTAGAAGCGACATCATCATATAGCCTCTCAGCCACCATGTTTCCAAGCAGGAAGCTCCCCCCCCCCCTGATTACATGTAGGTCCCCCAATACTGGCTCTATGGACATTACAGGTAGGTTTTCCTCCCAATGGGTCTAGGGAGGGGTTTACAGGTAGGTCTTCCCCATACTGGCTTTATGGAGGAAATTACAGGTAGGTTGCCCTCACACTAGATCTATGAAAGGGATTACAGGTAGGTCCTCCAATACTGGCTCTGTGGACATTACAGGTAGGTTTTCCTCCAAATGGGTTTAGGGAGGGGATTACAGGTAGGTCTTCCTCATACTGGCTTTATGGAGGAAATTACAGGTAGGTTGCCCTCACACTAGATCTATGAAGGGGATTACAGGTAGGTCTTCCTCATACTGGCTTTATGGAGGTAATTACAGGTGGGTTCTCCTTACACTGGTTTTATGGAGGAGATTAGAGGTATGTACCTTCTACACTGGATCCTTTCACAATGGCTGTAAAGAGGCCAACACAGGTAGGTTACCCTCACACTGGCTCTCTGGGGGTGATTATAGGTAAGTTCCCCTCACATTGGATGTATGGTGGTGATTACAGGTAGGTTCCCCTCATGCTGGCTCTAAGAAAGGTATTAGAGGTAGGTTCCCCTCACACTGGACCAATGAGGGGCATAAGAGGTGGGTTCCCCTCATACTGGCTTTATGGAGGAGATTACATGTAAGTGCCCCTTTATACTGGATCTCTGGAGAAGGTAACAGGTAGGTACCCTCACACTGGATCCACGCAGATTACAGGTAGGTTTCCTTCAAACCAGTTCTATAGAAGAGGTCACAGGTAGGCTTTGCTGACATTGGCTCTATGGAGGACCTTATATGTAGGTTCCCCCCACAGTGAATCTCCGGAGGACATTACAGGTAGGTTACCATCACACTGGCTCTATGGAGGACATTAGAGGTAGGTTACCATCACACTGGCTCTATGGAGGACATTAGAGGTAGGTTACCATCACACTGGCTCTATGGAGGACATTAGAGGTAGGTTACCCACACAGTGAATCTCCGGAGGGCATTACAGGTAGGTTACCCTCATAGTGGATCTTTGGAGGTTACAGGTTCTCCTCGCACAATCACAGGTAGGTTCTCCTCGCACAATCTGGAGGTAGGTTCTCCGCATGGCAGGTCCCCCTCACACTTCCTGTGGAGGGTCTCCTCACATTGGAGAGATAAGTGACATGTTCTCCTCACACCCTGTAGGTTAGCTCTTCTCACATTGGAGAGGTAAGTAGTAGGTGTCCCTTGATGTTAAGGGACAGGTAGGTTCTCTTCACATTTGGGAGGTAAGTGACAAGTTCCACTTACATTGGGGGCAGTAAGTGCTAGGTAGGTGCTTCTCATCCTGGTGGTAAACGACAGGTAGGTTCCCCCAACACTCTCTGGAGATAGGTGACAGGTAGGTTCCCCTCATTCTGGAGGCATGTTCCCCTCACACTCTGTCTAGAGGGCCTCCTCACATTAGACAGGTAGGTTGTCCTCACAATGAGGAAGCCAGTGCTAGGTAGGTATACTTTGGTTGAAGGTAAGGCATCAGCAGGTTTCTTTCACATTGGGAAGGTAAGTAAGTAAGTTATTCTCACAATGGGGAGGTAGGTGCCCCTGGCCTTGGTGGTAAATGACAGGTAGGTTCCCCTGGCACACCCTGAAGATAAGAGGAGGGTAGCTTCTCCTCAGGTAACAGGTAAGTTTTCCCTTCACCCTCTAGAAGTAAGCTACAGGTAGTCTCCTCATACATGACAGGTAGGTTCCCTTTTCACCTCAGTGGGGTAAGTGACCGGTAAAAATCCTCTCATGAGGTAGGTTCTTCTCATCAGCTCCCCTCTCACTCACGGTCATGCAGAGGCGGGAACTCTTAAGCCCCGCCCCCCGGGATTACCTCCCTGGTTCGGGCTGGGCGCAGGGCGAGGGCGAAGTGGAACGGACCAATCAGTGTGCGGTGGGCGGGGAGTCTATATAAGGCCGGGCTGACAGCGGACGGAGCCAGTTATCTGTACTGTGAGTGTCCGGAGTTGTGCGTGTCAGGGAGTGTGTCCGAGCCGGCACAGGAAGGGGGCATCGTTATCACGTGACGGCAGCGGCGGGGGGGCCGACTATCACATGACAGGAGGGGGTATGAGTAAGGGACGCAGTCTTTGTCAGCAGCTAGTAGTCAGGGGGGGTACCCTTTAGTCAGAGGGGTGGGTGTCAGAGGTTATGTTCTGGGGTGACAGGTCAGGGTGTAGAGGGATCTCCATAGCATAGGCTGAGCCTAGGAGAGGGGGGAGGTGCAGGGTTCCCTCTGGAGCTTGTTGCCCCGGTCCTGGATCTCTAGCCCAACTTCAGTGCTGCCTGCTGAAAATGCTCTATTGGCACACACAGCCTGAACACTACAACCAGCACACCAGTGGAAGCTACCTGCGGTAAGTGCTCCTCGCATGCCAGTGGCCCTTCCATGGGGCCCCTGCGGTGACTTTTTTTTTTCCTCCCTCCTGTTCTGCTTTAGTTGTCTATGTAGCGCCAACATATTCCATAGCGCCCGTTGTAGCGTCACTTTTGAGATGTGCACGTTAATTGAATGCAAAACGCATTGTGTGCGTGCAAACACTTGCAGTGTATTAATGTGCGTTGTCAAAGCGACCCATTCAAGTGAATGGATTCCCCCCCCAAAAATGGACATATGGCTTTTTTTGGCAACCCACTGCCCCAAAATGAATGGTTCGGCAACATGCCAACGCATGCAATATGTTCACACAGCACGCTGCAGCGGTGGCCTAGGTATGTTTTTTTGCTTCAAGGTCATCTTGGTGGTATAAAGATGCTGCTGCATGAGCAAAAACTGCCCACTGTGGCATAATGCAACTTTTCTGGCTCCCCTTCACTGAGATTATTGGATTTCGGGGGGTGGGGGGTTTATCAGAACCCTGTAGGGCTCATTCATACATATGCCTGCGTCGGGTACGGACAGGAGCTTATGCTCAGCTACGGCTGCTCAGCCTGTACAAATCAATTAGCCCCCATGGCTGTCCGTGTGTTTTTGGAAAGGGGAAAGATGAGTGGCTCGGGACGCCCACGATAGGCATGCAGAGTGGCTCGGAAAATACAAGCGGAATGCATGCCGTGTGGCTCGGGACGCCCATGGTCTGCATGCAGAGCTGCTCATCTGTCCAGAGCTGCTGACACTGTCGCACTGCTGTTGATTCATACAGACCAATCGGCCGCGGACGTAAACATGTCCATACCCGCCGCAGGAATACGCTGATTTGGGCAAGTGAACATCTGTATGAATGAGCCCATTACATACATGAAGGGTGTGAATAAGATTCAGGAAGGCGGCATGTTCAGTATGAAGCTCCGATCAAGAACGCGGGGACATGACCTCAAACCAGCGGAAGGAAGGAAAGTTCAACTCTAACCATAGAAAGTAATTTACAGAAAGAGTAGTTGATGTTGGGAGCAGACTTCGAGCAGAGGTAGGGAGTCGGGCAATGATGTACACGCTTGGGACAAACGCAGATCAATACTCAGGAGGGAAAAATGCTTTGCAATAGACTTGATGGAGCAGTTGGTCCTCTTCTGGTAAGAATGTGACCGGCACGCCGTGGATACATGGAGTAGTCCAAAGCTGTCATAAAATGATCACATCCCAGTGAGTGCAACATTCGAGAGACATGCACATGCCTGATGAGGGGGGTGCTACATGGCCCAGAAATGTCACATGTGATTGCCTTAATGTAGTTTCAGGCTTTGATATGGATCTATGGTGTGCTCTGGGGGGGGGGGGACAGGAAGGGGTGCGATGGGAATATAACTCGTGTAGTCTTCTGATGACTACACATGTTTAAGAATTCATAATTTCAGAGGTGAGCATTTCCTCGAGGCTGGTTTCACTCCCTTGCATTGCGGCTGCCGATGTTGCATTCATTCTGATAACGGACTGTGCGAACACGTGGTAATGCACAAACATGCCTTGCGGTGTGCTGCATTCCAAAAAAACTGCATGCGCTTTTTTTTTGGGGGGGGGGTGCATTAGCCAGGTCCTTCCAAGGTACGGACTGTCCTAATGCGAGAGGCGATGCACAGACGTGTGAACCCAGCCTAAAGCCTCTGTCCATTGTAAAGTGGCGACGATGGTCAGGGTCATTTTTGTGGGTCATCTGGAGAGGCGAAAAAAAAAGTTAAAAAACAGTAAAGCTTAAATGCGGCTCCTCAACGTTTAATTGTTTCACACAGCAACAGCTCCTCTACATTGACACGGTGATGCTCATGGCAGTGGCGCACCACCATGTGACCTTTTATAGCTTCACTACACTCTGAAGGGCACAAGTACCTTACCTGCGTCTCAAGGGTGTTTTTCGGATAAGAGAGCACACAGCGATTTTGTTGGGTATAGCTCGCCACAAACTGCTGATTGTCGTCAACATTGAGGAATAAGAAGTTGCTTTTGCTTCAAATAATCCCTTGACAGCAGTAACAGGAACATCCCATTTTTTTTTTGCCAAGGTCTCATGTTCTCCTGGGATCTGGCAGAACCAGCTCCCGGTGTGTGTGTGTGTGTGCGTGTGTCCAAACAGCTGATGTCAGTCACTTCGGTAACTATGATTTTACTGAACGGAGTTGTGCACGGATGCACATTGAGGGGAATTGATCAAAGCTGGAGCGGGCAGAATCTGGAGCAGTTGCTCTTAGTAACCAATCTGCTTCTTTTACTTTCAAAGCTTAACTGAAGAAGCTGGTTACTACGGGCAACTGCTCCAGATTCTGTCTGCTCCAGGTTTGATCAATTCCCCCCATTGTGTTCAATGACTATCTTCTTTTATGGTGCACTAAAGGAGGAAACCTTCCCTGTACTGTAATCTGATGCCCTCCTCTGACAACTGATCATCTGCCGTATATATTGGTTGTCGGGTAGACAAGGTGTTCTTTTTGGATGTGTGGTTCATGTGGTCTTTTTTTTTGCTAACTTGGGGCAATGCCAATGCACAGGATGTGCCTCATGGTGCGCTATCGTGTATGTGCATCAACTCCTTTCTAAACAAATAGCACCCCCCGATGCACGTATACTCCATCAGTTTTACCACCCAAGGCCAAAATGCATAGGTGTGATTCCACCATTGCAGAATCATAAGATGTAGAGTTGTTGAGAACTAATAATTAACAAATGGTTATTTTTTATTGGCTCTGAGTTGGTGCGTCATGTTGTTAATCTTAAAAATTGGCTGCAATACATTTGTAATAACCGTACTGGCCAACATCCCGTAGCGGGGTTGGAGTTTGCGGGGTAACATTACGCTATTGACGTGAATAACGAGCCGTGTGCCTCTCCAGGTTTAGGACGTTCTTGCAGCTTCGAGTCTCCGCCATCGTTCTCGCGTTTCGCGTGTTATTCAATGCATAGAGGTCTATGGGACCCAAACCGTGCAACAACCTCTCAAATAGCTCCTGCACCCTTTTGCGCAACAGGTGATTCCGGTCGCGCGACAAACTGCAAGGGTGTGAGCAGCCTCCGTTGACCTCAATGAGAGTCTGTGTTTTGAGTGATATCGTGCGATAAATCGCCTAGCTGTGCACCGGCCCAAAAGAAACCAAAGTGGGTTCCTTGCTTTGTTTGCTAGACACAAGTACAGATGTTCCTCACTTACCGACTTACCTATTTTGCGACCACTCGCACTTACGACGGACCGCCGATCGTCCTCCGACCTTGCGCGCCGTGTCGCCGGCGGAAGTGGTGTCCTCCGATCTTCACTGCGGGTCCCGGTAAGTATTTTAATTGCACGATGTACAGTACACTGTTCGGTACTGTACATCGGCAACGCTATACCGTACTGTACTAATGCAGTACAGTACTGTATAGAGTTCCTCACTTAACGACCAATCCGTTTAACGACCTGGTCGTAGGAACGTAACTCGGTCGTTAAGTGAGGAATACCTGTAGTTGCTATTAGTGATTGCAAATTCTATGACCCAGCAAGAATGGCCTGGATTAAAGGGCATTACATGGTGTTTACCTTTTGTAAGTGATAATGATGTCCTCGCTATGGGTCTTTAGAGAGGAGACCCTGACCTATGTCAACAAATGTTGTCCATTAAATTATTGCCAGGTGTGACCTTCATGGATCAATAGGTCAGCTCTGCAAAACAAATATGCTGATAGTGCAGAGCCTTGCAAATATATCTTTAAAGCTACCCAATGTCAGCACTGGCCTGTCTACCTCAGGTAGGCTTTTATTCTGCACGTGTCTTAAATTTCAGACTCCTTGATCCAACTTTCCGAATGGCAAGTCCCGTTGTGTAATATTTTTGGGACCTCTCTGTCCATCTGTGTCTTGGAGAATTCCTTTTTGTGCGTACTGTCCTCCTACTGATGGACAGAAGCGGATCACAGCCGGTAGACTGCGAGGTCAGGACCACTGAAGAAGTAAATGTCAAGATTGGCCATAAGCTTGCAGATTTTTTTTTTTAAACAAACTTTTGTATACTGTATAAAATCTATTTGGAACGTTTGATTCCCTCAGACAGAAGAATGTCATTTGAAATTGTGTTAGAATTTCCTGAGAACAAATTTTTCCATCTTGCTCCTTCAAATTTTTTTTAGCAACTTGACCCCCATTTAACGATTAGAAAAGCGAACGGACCTTCCAAAAGCTGTCTTCAAACAAAATTCTGCTGGTGTGTGACCGGAGTTTCTGCTCTCCTCCCCCCCTTTTGCTGCAACTGGAGGTCTGGAACGTTCAGCCATTAATCCTAAATGTCTGAGATGTCAAGGTCACGCCACTGGCAGCCCGTGTTTCGTGATCATGTAAGAGTTATCGGCATCAGTCCACGGTTATCTAAGGCCATTGTACACCTAATGTCAGCCGTGAAACTCGCTAAGAGGGTATGTAAAGGCAATAAATATTTATTTTTTAGTTTTGGGTGAAGTTAAAACTTTGGTCAAGTTATTTTTTTGTCCCTGTTGGGAAGATTCACATGCTTTGTTCTGGTGACCATTGTCTGAGACTATATAAGTGAGGCGGGAAAGTGGGGAAGTAACGTCCAATGAGGACACTTGTTTGGGTGACAACTGTGTGAGAGGCATTCCTTAAAGCCATATTCTAGAAGCTTAAAGGAGAACTATGAGGCGAGTGCTTTTCACTCACCTCATAGTTCTAGCCGACCTGTGACAATGAGACTGTTACAGGTCGGCTCAGTAGATCGGGAAGTGAGAGAACACATACCGGCGTTCGCTCACCACTCGATCCTGTCACGGCTCTCTGCCGTGACAGGGGAGGGGCTGGATTCCCCCCTCCCAACACCGATCCGCCAGCGCTGACTGGTGGATCGGACGGGGAGGGTACAGCTGGCTCTGCCTCTAGATAGGCAGAGCCAGCTGTCAATCACGCAGCTTTGTGGATCTCGACAGTAATGT